CCCCCCTGAGCCTCCTTTTCTCCAGGCTGAGCCCCCCCAGCTCCCTCAGCCCCTCCTGCTGCTCCAGCCCCTTCCCAGCTCCGTTCCCTTCCCTGGACTTGCTTTGAAATATTTTGATGGCTCCTTTCTGAGCTCAGCACCCTCCCGAATCTGGGATTTCTAATATTCCTCCTCAGGATTCCCTGCCTGGGGATCCACATCCACACAGCCCCTGAAAGTAAGAAGACCCCACGCAACAACACAATCATCCACTTGCACCCCATAAAGCTTGGGGTGAAATGAGATAAACAGCAACCAACACCCACCCCAACCCCCTCAGCTGCAGCTCAGCCCACCCAGAGTCCTCACCCTTCCTCCTCAACACTCTCCTTTGCACAACCATCTGCTGACCATGATTAAATCTGTTCCTAGACCAACCTTCCATCCATTCCCATGGTGTTTTTCCACAACCATCCCAGTGATGTGGATTTCAGGTTGGTTGAGCCCCTTTAATGTTTTCACAGGAATAGTAAATGGTGTCTCGTCAGCATCCAGGATGGGATGGAGCCCAGGAGAGACCCCCATCATATTTCTTTGGGTTTGCCCCTCAGAAAAAAAAACAAAGCAACCCCAAACCAGGAGAACAGGATTAAAATGAAGCCATTATTCATGCAAAAAATAGATACAAATTTTTAAAATAATAATATATTTTAATTTGCTCCATCTCAATTACCTGTCTCTTGATCAGGGGGGGAAGTGGAGCCTCAAATGTCAAATACATTGCAGGGCTTAACTATTTGAAGTGTCTGAAGTGAAATTTTAGCTTTTCCTCTCTTCTTTTTCCCTTTGCTGAACACGTCAGACTCGCAGCCATTTTTCAATTTGCCTGAGATCCAATATGCTGCAAATTCACCATGAAACTTGTCTATCTCCCAAAGCATGAACAGGAGATTTAATAAAAAATTAAATTCAAAGGCAGCAAACCCAATAATAATTTGGAAAATTGGCTTAGCAGTGAAGTTTAATAGTGTGATGTGTATGGACTCCATATCAGACACTTCAGTCAACTCTGTTTGTGGACTTTATATTTTATATCTATGTTTTTATAGCATATTGTAATGCATTTTTACATATATTTATATTTTAATTGATGGAGGTCCATAAGCATAGGTCAGAACTAAAGTTTTATTGTTGTTCAATGACACTGTTCAGATTCTCACCTCAACTTGATTAACACTGAGGGTATTTTCACTCAATTTATCAAATTTTTGGGTTCCTAGAGATGCAACTGCAACTGTCTCAACAGTCTGTCAGAGACAGTGATTATTTTATTTTTTTTTTTTCTGGAAAAGAATATTTTCTTCTTAATTAGATGTACTTTTAAAGCAGTTTGGCTTCAAAGTTTCCTGAAAAGGATCACATATTCCTTACTGGACTTAATACCCTCCTTTTCTCTCTCAGTTCTTGGAGTGGTTGGAGACACTCTGACCTTTCCATGGCATTTATCTCTGGAACAGATGACAGGGGCGTCTGGACATTGCTCCAGTGAACCCCTGTCATAACCTATTGCTTTTTAAACCCAGTGTCAAATTGTGTTCTCATGAACCCTGTCATCAGGCAGAACGTGTTCCTGTTATCCCACCAATCTTCCTGCATTAATATTT